AATGTAACTTCTGTCTCCTTTGGAAAAGAAGAAGGGAGAAGAAAAAAATTCTAATTATCAGGCAGCAAAAAGATTATTATTCGTTAGGCTCCATTTGCATCTCTGAAAAGGGCTCCGCTAGGAGTTAACCCAAGCGGCAGCCATTTTCTGGCCGGTTCTCGCGAAGCTGTCTGTCATTGCGTCCTTCTTGCCCGCACCTTTCTCAAATGGCTGGATCTGACGACTTTCACACTTTGCCCTTACCACCGCTGGATGATTGCTTCAATTAGAGGGCCCAAAACCCACTGAAGAAATTCAGAAACCTTACAAAAATGATTTTTCGAATAAAGACTGAGAGTTAACGCCAGACTCCAGTGGTGAGCTACCAGTCTGCTGAAGCCCTCTATGTTGAGTCCTGTGAACTGTTTCCAAGCAGGAGTCGACTCTTCAATCTTATCAGTGAAGTTAAAACAAGCATTGTAAAAGGTTTATGTAAAGATGCTAGTCAAAATAGATTTAATTTTTTTCTGTTTTGGACAGAATTTTGTTGAGCTGGGGTAAGTTTCAGACTCAAAACTTGATGTGGTTAGAGCTCAGACCAAAATTTCAGGCTCGATTAAAGCTCTACCGGCCAGTAAACCCATGCATTACACCTACACATAAGGTAGAAACACAACTGTATAATGCAGAGGGCCTCTCTTGGTCTTGGAGAACCAATACCCTACACAGAGGCATTTTCCCTATATTAACTCTGAGCTAAAGAAAGCCTTGTTAATTTGCTGATTAGTTGGACCAGGTGTGGAAGGGAGCAATGGAAGACCAGGACTGAGAAAAACTAAACTGATGAAATAGCATGATATATTCTGTAGATAAATGCAATAAATTAATATAGATCAGTGATCTCCAAACCTGGTCATGGAGATCCACCTGATTCCAACTGCAATATGTCACACCTGCTTCAGCTAATTAACTTCTTCAGAAGTTGGTTGGCAGAAATAGAGGCATCAAAGATCTGTAAGGGGGAGGCAGTATATCAGACGCAGATTGAATCTAAACTCTAAAGGAAAGCAGATCTCCAGGAGGAGCGTTGGTGACACAGACTGATACAGACAATAACTTGTATATTTATGGTACTGTGCAACAGTCAGAGACCACCCTTCATTTATTTAATTTTCAGTAAAAAAGAAGGACAATAAGTGTAAGTTATTAATTTTCAAGAGGTGTGTAGTGGGTAGCGCTACAAGAGCGCAGCAAGAAGGGCCTGGGTTCGGTTCCCCAGTTGGGCGATCAGGGTCCTTTCTGTATGGAGTTTTCATGTTCTCCAAAGATATGCAAGTCAGGCCAACCTGACATGCTAAACTGCCCCTAGGCGTGGATGTATATATCTGTCTGTCTGTCTGTCCTTCGACGGACTGGCGACCTGTCCAGGGTGTTTCCCGCCCTCCGCCCAATGATTGCTGGGATGGGCTCCAGCACCCCTGCGACTCAGAAGGATAAGCGGTTTAGAAAGTGCGTGTGTGTGTGTGTGTGTGTGTGTATTTCTGAGGACTTTAGATATAAAATAATACATCTAAATAAGAAAAGATAAAGTGAAAAAAAAAGTGAAATCCACAGCTGTTCCTGTCCATCCTTCCACTGTGAGAAGACAACTCAACGCTATGTGTCTGAAAGGATGTGTAGCTGTCAAGAAGCCAGAAAAAAAGGAAAGAAGTACAAAAAATAGAAGCTGATGGTGCTCTGAAACAATGGACTGGCCACCCCAGACCTCAACATCAATGAATGTGTTTGGTAAGGACTGAGCTTTGGAGGAGTGTAAAAATATCCCTGCAGATTTCTCCAAATTCTCCCAAAAAGAATGGAAGCTGTAATAAAGGCAAAAGGCAAAACATTGAACATTCTGGAATTATATTTAGTTGTTGAGTTGTTGTTCTTGTTGTGTAATTTTCTGTTAAATACATGTTCTCATTTTTTTCCTTGAACCTGAAAAATTAACACCTTGTAATTAACACCTTGTAATGGCAATTTGACTGAGAATCAAGTAATTGAGAGAGCACTCCCTGACTTTTTCACAGTACTGTAGGTGTACATGTGTGAGAGTGTACATTGCCATTATGAGCTACTGAGATGATATTTAGATGCTGTAATCATTTGCCAGCTGACAGAACTGTGTGAAGGCCTAAAGAACTACAGTTATCTTTTAATGTGTACAGCTTTGGAACTAATTAATCTAATGAGAAGTTAAACATTCTCTAAAATCCACATCAGCTGCCCACAGATCTATCATTCTGACGAATGTGTGCTCTACATGCTCATACACACACTTTTACACACACACACACACACACACGCTGACACGGGTCTGGTAAAAATGTCCGCGTTTTCCCCCTTCCTGACTTTTCCTCAACTCGACACGCCTGCTGTAGCAAACTCCGGCCTAGAGTTCAATCTAATTAGTGTGGTTTGTTAATTAAATGAGCGCGGCACTAACGAGGTAACCTGCTGTTCCTTGATAATGTTAATTACCCTGAAGGGAAAACCTCTCAACACGGCCATTTAAACTGTCAGCCCACATTCGCCGCTGGATTATTGATGATTTGAAAAATTCAGGCCTGTTCTTACGCACTCCTTCCATCACTCACTCACTCTCTGCCCGCCCATTCTTCCCCTCACACGCCTTATTGACCGCTTCCTCCTGCCTTTCCTGCCCCAGAGTAAAGGTGGTCTACCTCTCGCTCCGCTGCTTACACCCCACTCTCTCTCTCTTGCTTTCTCGCTCACTGGTTCTTTACCTTGCTCTCTCTCTTTGTCACATTCTCTCTCTCTCTTTCTTACTCTGCCTTTCTCTCTCTTTTTCTACTATGCTTGCTCTCTTTCTCTACCTCGTTCTGTTTTTACCTTACTTGTTCTGTTTCTCTCTCACTCTACCTTGTTTGCACTCTCTATTTTCTCTATTTCTCTACTTTGACGTCTTGCTCACTTTTTCTTTACCTTGTTTTCTCTCTCTCTCTACTTGGCATGCTCTCTCTTACTCTACCTTTCTTTCTTTTTACCTTGCTCACTCTGTCTTTTTGTCACTTTACTGTGCTCTGTCTCTTTCTCGACCTTTCTCTCTCTTTGCACCTTGCTTACTCGGTCCCCTTTTCTACACTGCACTCTCTCCCAAGCTTTCTTTCTTTTTCTGTTTTTCTACCTTGCTCTCTCCCTCTCTCCTCTTTCTTCCTCTCTTTCTCTACCATGCTTGCTCTCTCTCTGTCTCCCTCTTTCTCTCTGTCTCTCTTTCAGCATCAATAGTATTTACTTCCATAGCTCTGTGTATCTGCATGCCAGTTTGTGTTAGCCTCACAGCCTTCTTTGTGAGTGTGTGTGTGTGTGTGCGTGATGAGAAAGAGTAGACATGGTTCATGACTGTGATATCAAAGCCTCTTTCTCTACTTCTGTGTGTGTGCTGCCTCTCTGCACTATTTTTCTACAGAAGGCCTACAGTTATCACTGTTGGCCCAATTTAATATGGCAGGTGTGGAGACTGGATTGTTCTGCTGGAGTAGGAATTAACACACAGACACACACACACACACACACACACACACACACACACACTTGAGCACACTTACACACTCTGCAAACATCAGACCCCACAGCAGATACCAGCTTACTAAAACAAAACTGTTAAAACTAAACTGTATCAATTCATTTTTGCCACTGTGACAACTCACAGTGCAGTTCATTTAGCACAAATACAGTCGGACAGCAAGCTGAGAAAAGCATACAAGTTTCTTAGAAAACTGGACATACAAGGAACAGTTTATAAGTAAACAGGTAAAATGTGACATCGGGACAGCACTTGACCGGTTGGGCAAGTTCATGTTGGTGGTGGGGGGGGGACGCAATGTGTTAACAGAACAATGTAACTGAGGCCAAACTCAGTTCACTTGAATGTTTAAACCCTCGCCATGCAAAAATGATCCTCATTTACGCAAAAAAACAAATGGTATTATTTATTTACAAATTACGTCAGAGCGAGACGCACATTAAAACGTTGGAGAAGCGTGAATATGAAGCAAGGTGCGTCCGCAGCTTCATTCCCTCATGGAAAGCAAATGCTAATGCTAAGTTTACTGACAACTTTAACGTGAATGTATTTTTAATAAAACAGAAATATATATAAGCACACCATGATATATATAAAGTATAACAGCACAACAGAGTACAAATTATAATACTGTCACTGTCATAACAAAACTTCATATTTCCAAAATGTACCTTGATGCAACAAGATATTTTAGGCCTTTTCTGTTGGTCCAGTCATCATGAAATATTCACAAAATGGAGAGTTGACATCATCATGGTGTAAAAAATAAAAATGGGAAGTTATGAGGGTTTGCTATGGCAGCAACAAAATGTTGTCTTAAACTACATTTAACTAATATATTAAAACATCACAGTGGGACAGTGAGCAAATATGTGGGCTCTACCACTAACACAGACAGATCTCTCTGTTACTTTACTTTTGTGTGTGTTTGTGTGTGTGTGTGTGGAATGGGGGATGGGGGCGTCAGGTGGTAGGGGATACTGCACTCCAGCTAACCTCACACTCACAGAGGGAACTGTGTTTGGACTCCACACAGTCCAGTGCACAGCTCTTCACTACAAAGAGATACATTCATCTGACTGCTTTCTAATACTGTACAGAGGGAGACAGAGAGAGAGAGAGAGAGAGAGAGAGAGAGAGAGAGAGAGAGAGAGACAGACAGAGAGACAGACAGAGAGCAAAGGAAAGTTGGAGAGAGAAAGAAAGAAAGAGGGAGAGAAAAGGAAAAAGACAGTAAAAGAGAGAGAGAAAGAGAGAGATGGGGCAGAGAAAGATGGGAAGAGAAAGAAACTGAAAGAGAGCGACAGAGACAGAGAGAGATACAGAGAGAGAGACACAGAGAGATAGAGAGAGAGACGCTAAAGAGAAGACTTCTGTATTTTGTCATAACTGTGTGTGTGTGTGTGTGTATGTGTGTGTGTGTGTGTCTCACCTGTACAGGGCTCTGTTTGACCTCGTTGCTGCTGGGAGAACTGAGTCCTGTGGCCTGCTGGAGAAGGAACTGGCGCGCTGCCTGGAGAGCCTGCGGACACAAGAGAGAGAGCACGGTGGTGAGCACCGCACACACTCAAAGCTTACATTTCCTCAAAATCACAGGAGAGATACACTTAGCACTGCACTGTGGACCCCATCCGAGTAAACAGTGTGTCCTTCTGTAAGAAATGACATAAACGTGGACAGATTTTCTGCCAAACCAGACTCACAACAATAACTCTGCATTAAGTTTTAGATCATAATAAAATATCTTCTCTTCTACTTACAAACACAAATCTGGCATCAAGTGCAAATTTAGAACCTGGAGAATAATAAATACAAAATCATGTCATGCTTTTGTTATCCCTATTGATAACTGCAACTTCTACAGATCAAAAAGCTTCCTCATACTCTGAATAAGAGGAGAAGGGGTATGTGGTTATATATCTCCTATAGTATCTCCTATAGATGTATCTATATATGGCTACACAAATCTCCTTTCTCCTCCCCTCTACTCAATCAAAGCGACACCTGCACAGCACCGTCCCACCGTCCTCAGGGCAAGAATTCTAGCCACTGTTTTTGTTTGACTGCACCAGCCCCCAGGACTGGCAGGCCAATGGCAAAGCACGGCTCTCCAAACAAAAACACTGGTCGGCAGTAAATCAGGGGGCAAAGGCAGTTTTTGAAGAGCGCCATCAGGATGCACATTTGTTTCCTGGCCCCGAAGAGTGAGAGGAAGGCTACATGGTAAATATTGATATATGAGGGGAAAAAAAGATGGGGAGGGGTTCACATAAAACAAAAAGAAAAGGACAGTAAGCATAAATCTTTAAAGTCACGCTCGAGTGTTGTTGGTAAATCCACCCAAAACAGTTCTTTCTCAATCAAGACAGCTGTGCTAGGAGCTTCAGTGATGCCAGCTTTACAGCTGAAAGGAAAGATAAGACTGCTTTATATAAACTGGGCATCAACAGACGCTGCTAGCACCTGTTGCTACAAGCCAGAAAATAAGTCCTAAAAATTAGGACGCAGGCCATGGATGCTGAACAACGAATGCACTCAACCATACTCAAATTGTACTCAAATGTGTACATGACTTTTACATGAATATAACACATCCCTTTTGTCTTTGTGTTTACACACTTTTGCCCACAAATGTGTTCATATAATGTCTTTAATTCAATGTAAAAGTAAATTTAATGCATTACTCTTTTTGCATGCATTGTCTCCTCAATATGGAAAATAAATATGATAAAAATGTCACTACAATTTTTTTTTGTTTTTTACAAATGTCTCGCTGGGTATAATTAATTAATTTAGAGTAAGATTAATAAAGTCATTTAGGCATCACCTGACACCCACAGTTTGAGCTAATAATGATATCAATTGCAAAAGCACTTGAGTGTGTGGGTGGGTGTATTGTGGAGCCCACTGTGCTGCCCTCTACATAAAAATCCCTATTCTTTTAAAAGAGAGAGAGAGCAAGAGAGAGAGAGATAGAGAGAGAGCCCCCATTGCAATCAAATCCATTGGTCTGCATGATGAAAACCATCTGCTGCATCGAGAGCACTTGTTACTTTTGCTGAGGTCGCAACTGAATAGCGCATGTGCATACGCACACACACACACTCACATCCCCACACACACCCTGAAAAAGCCCCGCAGTCTGGCTGCACAGGAACCAGTCCCTCAGAGTGTGTGACCTCAGCAGTAGGCTGTCCAAACTGAAGTGACCAAAAGCACCTCCCAGCCTCAGCAAGGCCATCTGTACACACACACACATAGTCCAGGCATGTGGTGAATATTAAACACACACATGAGCCTGTGTGCCTATACCCACACTAGCATTAGAGCATGTGCTTAAATACACATAGACACTCAGCAATGATGGCCCAGACTAGATGGGATCTGGCAACAATAAGGGCTAATTTGGTCCAAATTACCTCACTGATTACCACACTTTGGTAATAAACCACTCAAGGCGCTAATAAACGCAACTATTATCTTGAGGCGATGTCTGTCTCTACTTGAGCTGTTTCAAAAAGTCTGCTCGTTTGCCTTATGGTAGAACACGAAACAGCCTAGAAGGAACGGGTGGTCGCCGCTTCTGTGCTTCGTCAGGCTGAGCTGAGAGCAGCTCGGCAGGCCAGAGGTCAGCCAAGCCAAACAGAGCTGGAAGGAGCCCGGGCTGACCTGGAGTCTCCCTGTGGAAACTAGCGCACAGGCTTTCTCCGTTAAGGGTGGAGGAGAAGCTATTGGATTAGCCTCGACGATTTACAAACTTTTGGACGGGCTGAGTAAACTTGGACTAAGGAGTTGAAAAGGAAACAAGAAAGGAAAAGTTGTTTGGCAAGCTAGCCTCCACAAAAACTATAGTCCATGGGAGTCTCTATGCCAGCTAGCCTCCAAAGAACTAAAGTACATGCTAGCCTCCATGCCAGCTAGCCCCTATGTACTCTATGTATATGGTACCCTCCATAAACCCAACATACCAGCTAGCCTCCAAAAAAAAAAAAAGGACAATTTAGCTTCTGCTTCCCTTTCAGTTGCCCAAGTTTCTGATAACTATTTTGAGGGAGCTTTGAAAAGACCAGCCAATTTATAAAGAGCTGAAAAAGAAACAACAAAGTTAGCATACCCAGTCTGACAAAAAAAAAAATAAAATAAAGTAAATGCTAGACTAAATACTACACTAAACTACATGACACTAAAGTGCTAGCAAACGTTCATATTATTGGAGGCTAGCTGGCATTGAGGACTTTTCCTTATGGTTTCTTTTTTTTTTTTAGGAAGGAGTTGGGAGAAGCTTCTGAGGAAGAAGCTCTGAAAACATTCCTAAGGGAACGTCTTCGATGCTAGCTAGCCTCTAAAAACTAAAGTACATGCAAGCCCAAAGTAGACTGAAGTACATGTCACTAGAAATAGTTTAGAAATGACTGCTTGCCAGTCTTGGATATACATCTTTTATGTATAGTAACTGGCTGATTTACAAACATTTGGACAGGCTGGGGCAAACTAGAAGGGAAAAGTCCTCGGCCAGCTCGCCTCCGAATCATATGGCTACACATGCATGCTCTCTTCCATGCCAGCTAACATACATGTGCTAAAGTACACGTCCCTTGCAAAAGTTAAGAAAAGACTTGATTTATTTTTCTTGCTTGCTCTCCTTCTTTGCTTTGTTGCCTGTCTTTGACATAACTCTTTGAAGCAGCATTAGCATTGTACACTGACCAGCCGATCCTTTGGACCCTCCCAAAGGCCTGTGGCATTCACTGGCCAGCACTGCACCTTTAAAGAAAAATATGAGGGGAGGCGGCGGGCGGCTGGGCCCAACAACAGCTCCATTGTGCTGCAACGTTAGACAGGTTTTATTGCGGAGAGGGCGGGTGGGCGCTCTGAGAGAGTGAGGGAGAGAGGGAGGGAGAGAGAGAGAGAGAGAGAAAGAGAGAGAGAGAGAGAGAGCGAGAGAGAGAGAGGGAGTGAGGGGAAGGGGAGGGTGAAGAGGTCAGAGCCCAGCTTGGCGGCCCAGGCTGCACAGTGTGTGAGTTCTCCTGACTTGTCATCAGAGCACCCCCCCCCCGCCAGTCCCTCCCCCGTAAATCAACACTCCTGACATGGGCTTTAATAACAGAGCATTTTTTAATTCAGCGGGGCCGAGAGGGTGGGGGGTGGGAAGAGAAGGGGTTTGAAGAAGGGGGGATGTTGCAGTGTACCCATTTTTCCCCCTCTTTCTCTTCTCGTCTAGCCCTCATGTTCTCTTTAACAGGCTTCAGAAAAAATGGCTGACAAGCGGGTTTCTTTTTTCACAAAAGGGACGTGAAGGGAGGAGCTCTGGTGAGGGTCCATTAATGGAAAATAATAGGGAAAATTTAGTTTTGGCATAAGGCGGCGCACGTTCTCTTCATTCTCCTTCTCCACGTCCACCAAAAATAAAGTTGAACTTTTTTCTTTCATCCTGTTTGACGGATGTTCCAAAACGAGGCACTGGGATGCACAAACAGAGGGGGGGCTGATTGCGCGCCTCTTCCCTGGCGGGCCCAGGTTCTATTCATTAGGCTCAGGTTGCTAAAGCAAACAGTGCTCAGAGGTGATGAATCTGGGCCCCGATTCCGCTGTGTTTGGGTGAGCGAGGGGCAGAATGTGGGGTGTTCTCTCTCTCCTTCTCTCTCTACCCCCACACCCACCTACACCTTCCCTCTCTCTCTTTGCTGTAAATCCAAAAAAGAGGCAGGGCCAGCTTGTCTGGGTACAGGTGGGCACCAGATGCTGGAATGATCCATCATCGCTGACAGAGGACCATTGTTGACGCCCGCAACAACCCCCATGACTACTCCCCCCGTAGAAAAACAAGAGCCTCCGTCCCCATGACTTAGACTGTGGGTGTGTGGGTGGGAGGGTGTATGACTGGGAGGTTGCTGGAGGCAGAAAGGGTCAAGAGGAGTCTGGTTACCAAAGCTGGCTGGGCCAGGGCCTGCCGACACCTTCAGCCAGCCACTGTCTGCTGGAAAGCAGTCTGGGTCACATATGGACAGAAAAGAGAGAGGAACGAGAAGACGTAGAAGCAGGGACTGTTCTCAAGGCTTTAACCCTGAGAATATACAGTTATCACTGGTAATAACACAGGAGCGTGGTGCAATTCAGTTTTAATTATTTCTCACGTGTAACTTACTGAAAGTAGCTGAAAAAGTCTGTTGAGAGGAGGATTCTAAACTTTCAGTTGAAACCATACTTGTGTTTGTAAGTTGAGGAAATATTTTACCTAGATTTGAATTTGATGAAAAGTTACTGCTGTGTGCACAGTCGTCTTGAAAAAAGAAAAACTATCCTGTATATTTTTGCCATAGTTTTGCCATTTCCTGACTTGGAAACACATAAAAAAATGTTATGCAAACTGAATGTTAATGTAATTCATTATGTAACTAATATTGCAACTGCAATCAATAATGTAAATTGAACACATAGCTACATGAAAATAACCTTAGACTTCTAACAGTTAAATGGCTGTGTCTCAACTGTCAGACAAACTTGGGATATTTACAAGACATT